TCTCATTTTAAGTACGTAAAAGGTGCATACTCACATTTTAAGTACGTAATAGGTGCATACTCTCATTTTAAGTACGTAACAGGTGCATACTCTCATGTTTTAAGTATGTAACAGGTGCATACTTTCGTTTTAAGTACTCTTGCGTTTTAAGCTTTATTTAGCCTGGGCATCATTTACTGCACATGTCACAAGGTTTTAGTGACTTACATTCAAATTTTATCAAACTACTTTTTATTTATGTTATATCAATTAGTATATTGTAAAATTTTAGCTAATAATCCATATTTTAATGGTATATAAACTTTAAGTTCTTAATTTTATTAGGCAATATTTAAAAAAATCCTGAATTCCCCCTAATGTGACACATTGTATCACACATGATGTCTAGGACTTTTGAAGAAATTTATGTAGCTTACAGTATCATCTGTAATGAAAAATATACTGGTGAATCTGAGAGACTTATAAAGAGTGTTGGCTGGAACTTCTCCTAGCTACAATGATGTGTACGGTTGACTTCTCCTAGCTACAATGATGTGTACGGTTGACTTCTCCTAGCTACAATGATGTGTACGGTTGACTTCTCCTAGCTACAATAATGTGTACGGTTGACTTCTAGCTACAATGATGTGTACGGTTGATAACATTTCAGTTGCAGAACATTCTATTAATGAGCACTCTTTACCTAAATTTAATCACTCTTATAGCATTAAAATAGAAAGAAAATACCGCAGTATTTCTGGACAGGAAGTACAAGGAATCCCCGAGAAGCTTTCATTCAATAGAGATAGAGGGTTTACACGTTAGATAGTATAGTTATGTATGTTTTAATACCTTCTGCTTTATTTTTATTCTTTCTATAAGTGTGTTTATTACTGATACACATTTATTACATTTAAATGCTCACATGATTTATCTTTTGTTTTCAGTTTTAAATGAATATTACCTTCACCATACTGATATAATTGTCATACATTTATTATGATCACGATACATTTAATTCAATTACATCAATTGTTTGTTCTGTTAAGACTTGGCTCATGTTCAGTAGCATGTCTATATATTGATAAAACCATAAAGAAATATAGAATTTTTACTGGATATGGCTGTTTCACTTTATTAAAAAATGTCACTACATGACTGTTTAATGCTGTTAAACAGGCTTTGTCTTATGTTGTTGAAACTGGTTAACAAATCTTCTCTCCTGTGGTCAAATCACTACATGCAATCTTCCAAGAAAAATGGGGTTTTATTTTAAAAAACTTGAGTCTAATTCCTTTTTGTTGGTCAAGTTTGACCCACTCACTGTATAAAAATTCCTGTTGTTGTTTCAATTGATTTACCTATTGGCCAAGTGCACCTTGAGACAACCAGATTTTTTGTATTTATTATGTCAGGTAGTTGGAGAGTAAGCAGACAAGACCTTGTGAATCCACCCTGGGTGTATTCTTCTTGTAATTCTGTACTATATGATGAGGATGCTGACTTGGATGAATCCAGTGATAGTGAGACAAGTTGTGGTACTAATGAGAGTTGTGAAGAAAGAAAAATCCACATTCATGAAAGCCATCTTTTGAAAGGAATTGTTAAGTACCTGCTTCCTCGTGTTGGTCTTGGAGTGCATAAAGTTGTTCTCACTGCCTCTAGAGGACTCACTAGTAGTTTGGTAAGAAAACTATATGTAAATCTGATTCTTATTTTAATACTAGTACTTTTTTTTAATAATCTTTCCCTATGTCAGAGATCTCAATAGAATATAACTGACCACAATTTGTACACGTCAAATCATCTAAAGACCCACTTGAAAGTAAAAAGAAACAACATCTCATATGGATATCAATACATTTGACCACCAAAAGTTAGAATTATCAGGTTTCATGAATCTACGTGTAATAACTCATCGCGCCAGAGAAGACCATACAGTAAATCAGAATAATACGTAAATAATTGTACCCCTCTTAAAAATATTCATGTAGTTAGTTGAGTCAAACTTTGATGGGGTTTTATACCCCAGTCAAATGGATAATGCTCTAGTCTTCCATCGAGAAGAACCGGAGTCAAATTCCAGTACGGAAATAATCCTTCTCAGGACTTCCCTGAAGATGGTAGAATATTAGAAGCCAAAATGTGGGATAAAGCTTAGTTTGTAATTAATGTTCAATTAATAAAAACATTACTAATGAATAAATAGACTTAGGTAGAAAATGTCACTAGTGGGTTGCCAGTGCCCCTGATCAAAAGTAAAGTCTATCATTGATCCAAACATGGAAATGCAGTGATATGTACAGGTGGATGTATCTGCTTTGGACAGTGGTCAGAATGTGCATATACAGAACAAATGAATGGGAAAACAGTTCACTAAAACAGCAAGGCATACAGTGTGACAATGTCCAGCATGTAAATGGCGTTCATGGCTGCTACCCACTGCTTGGGATGGCTAGAGGATAAGGTATTCACACATGTAGTATTGACAAGGGACTCTAAAAGCATGCTGGAGAAAATATGTAAAAATTTGAAACTTTTTAGGTTAGATAGATTAGATTAGGTATAATAAAGAATAACAATGATAATGATTTTTCACAGGTATGCACACGAGTAACTCATGAGTAGCCCGTGCATTATGTAAATCGATAGGGTAACATGAGCTACACGTTTACAAAGTGATTTACAACTTCTGTGGTGGGAATATTAGTTACACACCATTCAAAGAGCAATAAAACTTAAATATAAAAAGATGTACGCTGTTATGAGTTTAAAGCTATTTAGGATAAACAAGGGTTGTTTCATGTTACAATTTGAAGTCATTCTAGAAAGAAAAAAAATAACAGATAAAATATATCAACATTTCAAATTTATTTAGAAGGTTTTAGAGACTTCACAAATGAAAATTGATATTTCTCAGATGAAGAAAAGTAATTTTAATCTTCACATGAAAATCAGTTTGAACTTGGAGCAGTCAACATGTTGATTCCATATATTCGTGGAGATGTATTGAGTGAAAATACTTTATTAAAAATTTTCATTTTTTGTCTACAAATGACTCTTAATGTATACTGAAAGCTTGCAAGATTTCCTAAAGACACACAAAATGTATTAGAAGTTATAGTATGGAAACTCTAAAAATCAATTATTT